ACACAGGGAAGCCGAGGGCTGGGACTGTTTGGGGCTGTTTTGTGACCACAGCCTTTTATTGCTTTAAGGTCAGGATTCAAGTCTTCCCTGGACCCTTCAGGAAATGCACATCAAGTTTTTAAAGCTGTTGTAGGAAGCTTAGAAACGTTTACCCCGAGTGCTTTTTGGATACTTCAACAGCATCTCCTTCAAAAGAGCCTTTGTTTGCTTTTTGAGTTGTAACTGTTTGCTTGGAAGCTTTTGGGATTCTCAACTGCTCTGCTGGACACAACAGAGGGGGAAAAGGAGGGAGCTGGGCTGTTCTCCAGGCTGTGCATCCACACTGTGTTGGCACAGGAGGTCCTGGGGTAGGTCCTGGGGTATTCCAGGTGCCTGAGGTGTGTAAGGAGCAGCCACATTCCCAGCAAAGCTTCCTGATGCACCTCCTGGGCTGGGGTGATAGCAGAACTCCAGGGAGGTGTGTTCCTTGGGGAAACAGAGGTGATTAAGCAGAGTCGTGTTCCTGAGGGAAATAAAGGTGATTAAGCAGAGATGCTTCCATGGCACTGAAGTGCCTCTTTGCCCAAAGACAGAGATGCCCAGTGAGCTCCTTGTGAGCAGAAACTCCTGGGATTTATGGAAATCCTGCAGTAACTCCTGTGAGAAGAGGTGGATCAGGTTCTGGATGAACTGTGTCTTGCAGGTGGAAGGAGTCTGACCCAGGCTCATGACTTACACACTGTGCAAGTCTGGCTACACAGGAAAACACAGATGTTTTCTCATTTCCTTTCTGAGGATGTCTCTTAATGAAGTTGGAATTTACCAGCTCTTACATCTCGGAAAAGGAGTGGGGCAAAGAGCCTGTTGTAGTGCAGGCAGGGTGAGACCCACCTTCTTTTGGAGTTAGACTTGGATGTCTGCAGAGATGTTTTGGGGAGAGAAGCAGCTCATTCTCAGTCTTCTCCTAACAGCTCTGTTCTGCAGCCCTGTCCTGGGGCTCACAGATCTTTCATCCTTAAAGGATAGTGCCATGTTCCTCATGAACACTGGAAATCAGTATTTTCCCTCCCAGGCATGTACCAGTAGAATATGAATTGTCATCAGCTGGGATGCAATTCTTTGATTTATTCACAGCCTTTAGCCTTGCTTTTTTTGGGTCTGTAACTCAGATCTTGAAGGGAGTTTTAGATTAAGTAATGGTGTTAAAAACAAAACAAAACTTTTCTGTAGCCAGGCTGGCTTTTGAGGGTGTGTGACCTGAGTTAAAACAGTTTAAAACTCACCAGGACTAATTCTGCACTAGATCCAGGTTGGGTTTAATTCTCTAACACTGTGCATCAGAGGTGCATTTCATATATATTCAGTTATATTTCATATAACTGTTGCAGGTGTTTTCCACATGAGGGATGATCCTCAATGAAATGAATGCTTTCTGGTTATTCCTGTTGGTCCCTGAAGTCCCTGCTGTGCCTTTTTCCAGGCTGGCAGCGCTTTGCTCTACAAAATGTTTTGGGGCTTGATCCCCGAAGATGGGGATTAATTCTTTGCTCATGTTGGGGCCTTTTCTCCCTGGACTGTGGTGTGACCATTAAGCCATGACATTTATGGGTGGGTGATCCCGCTGGGAGCTGCCTGGCGTGGTGTCCTGTGTGTGTGTCCACGGTGTGACCACGTGTGGTGTCTCTAATTGATCCCAGGGATCCTGGCTCTGCCGGTTTGACCCACTGAGAGCAAGTGGTGGAGGTGAAAGCTTCACCTTCTTTAATGGGAATGGCAGCCCCGAGCCTGACAGGAGCTTTGGGAACAGGTGACACATCACCACAGGCGGCGTGAGAGGCCAACTGTGGGTTTCCAGCTCCTTCCACTTGAAATGGTTTCTCTGGGAAACAGAACAACTCGACTGGGGTAGCTCAACACCACAAGGAGAAGAGCTTTTCTCCACCTGGAATTTAACAGCAAGATTTAAGCGTAAATGTGTCATGAGGGAAGGGTTGGAAGGACCAGCTGGCCAAGCAAACCGATGGGGAATTGCCTCCCGAGCTGCTTGGCACTGCTGGTGCTTCCTGCCTTCTTGTGTGTCCAGGCTGTGCCAACTTTGTGACGTTTCCCAGGATTATTTCAGTCTAAACATTTTGGGTTAACACAAATGTGCTGTTTAAACAGCTCAAATTCACCTGCTTGTTTGGATGGAAGGGGATCAGGACAGTGTAAGTGTTTGGGAGGGTGGATCTGAAATGGCAGGAGGCAGCTGGGGAGTTGCTCCATCCCTGGACCAGCTGGGTCCTGGGATCTGAGTACTCCAGGCCGTGCCCCCCAGGAGCCCGGAGCAACGTGTTGAATTTGCAGTGATATTTTATTCCGGATTTTTCCTCAGCCAGGGCTCTGCCGGAACATTAAGCACATCATGCTGGTGTCGGGGTGGGCTCTGTGGTGCTCTTCCTGCTCCAGGGTTGCTTTTCCAAAGTGTGTGCTACTACTACTTCCAGAAAGGTTAAACAAGGTCGTGCTTTGGCATGGGGGCACCTTAGGGACCTGCTAGTTGGGAAGCTCTTGACCTTCTAATGAGGACACTCTGGCTTCACCCAGGCCTGTGTGACCTCATTTAACCTCTTCCATGTCTTTAAAGCAGGTTTTCCAGCCTGGCACTACAGTGAGGGTGAGGCTGGTCTCTTGGGCACAGCGTTGGTGCTGAGAAGGGGCTGGGTTGGGCGAGGGCATCCTGATGCTTCCCACCCTTCCCTCAGAGTCCTGTTGCCCTTTTTTGGCCCCGTTTCTTTCCCCAGGCACTGCACTGTGGTTCCTTCCCGGGTTCCCAGGGCATGACTCGGATAAGGAGAAGTTTCCCCCTTGCATTGCAAAGCAGCTTAAGGACCCTCCTGTACCTTGTGGAGCAGAGCAGGAGGAGGCACAGCCTCAGCAAGGTGGATTCTCTGCCTTCACAGCCAAGAAGCGTCCTCTCCACACCATTCCCTGGAGGTTTGAGCTGGAAACAGGCGGTGAATGGAAGGGAAGGCCCTTTTTGGAGGGGATGTGAGCACTGTCTAACGTGAACAATCACTGAACAATGAGGTTATTTGAATACAGATCAGTAAATCTCACCTACAGCTGCCGACCCACCCGCTCATTAGCACTGAGTGTCATAATTGCTTCACAACAGAGGCTTTAAATGTCTATGTCCGTCTGTAATTAGGGATGGGAAAAGGAAGAGTGCCGGGGAAGGGCAGGACAGGCTCTCCTGTCAGCAGAACAACTGGACAAAAGGAATCCCAGCGGGGATTGAGGAGGGAATTGCTTCCCTGGCATCCCAGGATATTTAGTAACATGTCGAGTTTTACTCTACGCAGAGCAAAAGGATGGTTTGGGAAATGATTTGGGCGGTTTAATGCTCCGAAGCGGTGTGCCTGTCTCCCCCTCTTGCCTGGCTGTTGTTAGACAAACCAAGAAACCAATTACAAACCAGCAAACCCGAGTGTTTTCGTGTTGTCCAGCACCTGACACTCGGCAGGAGCCTCGGAGCAGTTGTAACACGGCCGAGGGAGCAGCGAGGCAGAGAAAAGGACCGAGCGATCGATGTGAAGGTCGTTGTGAAACCTCCCGTGTTCACCTGCGTGGTTGCAATTCTGGCAGTGAAACTCCACCCCGGGATGGTATTTGCTTTGACAGCCAGACCTGGGCTGCAGGAGCTGCTGGAAGAGGTTCTGCCTGGAGTAAAAATCGCATGTGGGCTCTCCCCACCCTCCCTGCTCGGAGCTGCTCCCGCTCGGGGGGTATCGTGTGTCTCCCGCAGTTTCGGCTCATCCTTTCATGTCCCTGCTCCTCCCCGGCTGCTCCGAGGGGACCGTGGTGGGGGAATGCTGCTCGTTCTCCCTCTAATTGGAAATGGAGACATCCCAGCGTGCTGAGGGCTCTTCATTAATCCCTGGACCCGAGGGCTGAGTTTACTTTTAATAACTTCCTTTGCTTAGTGCAGTACTCTGACACCTTGGGTGGCAGCGGCACAGAAGTGACATTCCTCAGAGCAGGGAAGGGATGGATGTGAAGGGAGCGTGGTTTGACTGCCTTCAGCATTGTTCTGCTTGGAAAGGTGAGGGAAGTGCCTCTGATGGCACTTGGGATCCACGTTCAGCCTGTGCCTGGCAAGTGCTCGTGCCTGCCTGGTGAAGTTTGGGAACGCTCCGTTGAACACAGTGAATACTGTTTGTTAAAATTACATGTGCAACTCCAGGGCTAATGCTCTGGTCTCTGAAGAAAGTGCCTCCAAACATCCAGACAATTCCTCTGGGGTTTCTGGTAGCTGGAAATGCCTTTTCTCTTTTTTTTTTTTGCCCCCATTTCCAACTACCCACCCTCCCTCTGTCCCTGCAGAAAAATCACAGATCGGTGCTGACATCGTGTGTGTTATTTTCCACCCAATTTCTCTCCTGTTATGAAACCAGGGTTGAGTTTTTTTTTTATTGTTTAAAAGCAGCTCAGATGCTGAATTTATCTTGCTTTTTCAAATAAATGTTGGCTGGCACCAGCTTCTGACTAGTTCAGAGTGAGGGACTTTCTGTTATGGGGCTGATTTAGACAAAAATACAACCAACAACCCAACACAAAATCCATCAACCCCCACGTGTGAAATCTGGAGTTCTGTGAGTGAGAGGAGAGACCTGTACAGAGCTGGCAGGGTCGGGAATTTTGGGTAGAGTCTGGAATGGCCATAGTTAGCTTTGGAAAGGGTTTGTCAGGCTGGTTAGCACAGTGGCACTTCCATGGCGCTTCCGTGCCCCTCCAGCCTCTCCACAGCCCAGAATGCTGGGCTGGCTTTCCTTCCTCCATCACTTCTCACATGATCGAGATCCTCCTGCTGAAATACTCTCTTGGTTTCCCTCGGTTGTTCTCCTCTTCCCTATTTTTCAGTGATTTTTCCATTTCACGTGTGCTCAGACTGGAATATTGGGGTCTGTCTGTGTTGCAGCCTGTCCCCAGGCTCCTCATGAGCCCATGGCTGTGGCTCCCTGTGCTTGACCCTTCCTGGGATCTGAGATCTCCTGCTGGGAAGCGCTGCAGGGCTGTGGGTAGAACTCCATCAAACAACTCATTTTTTTTTTTCCTGTTTGTTATTTTTTCCCTGCCCTGAACGTGCTCACCCCAGTGCTGACAGGAATCTGCTTTTTCACATCTGGGCCCAGATCCTCAGTGGATACTTGTAGGATACAGCAGATACATTACTAGCTCTTTGTCCTATGTGCAAAATGGCTTTCCCCTAAAATTCCTTTCCCAGTCTCTTGCCCTCAGGAGATGGGATTCTTGGCTGAACTTTCCACGTTACCTACGGGGCTTTGTCTGTTCTGCAGGCAGGTCCTGCAGGCTTCTCTGCAGTTGACTGAAAGCTCTGTTGTTCTCCCAAGCTCCACAACGTCTGACTTGGAGGCTCCAAAACAAGATGCAGGGGTGCAGTTTGTACCAGCACACCCCAGCCTGCCGTGTGTGGTGTCGGGCAGGGCTGGGGGACGTCTCTTTTTTCCAAAGGATTTTTTCCACGGAGCTCTGCGATGGATCTCGCGTGTTCCTGCCTTTAGAAGGCGAGGGACTGTGGCTCTGTAAATCCTGCCATGAGCAGGCACCAGCTGGCTTCACTTAGCTTGTGTGCACTGATTTATTTTTTTGCAGGCAGTACTGGATTGTGCTGATTGTAAGTGTTCCCTCATGTTCCATCAAATACCCCCAGAACAGCAGCATCAGGATCGACAGTCCCCAGATTAGTGTTTTCATGCTCTGGTTCTCCTTCAAAAGTGGTTTTCTTTGAGTTGGGTGTTGTGGCTTTTTCTTTTTTGTGTGTGTGTCCCTTCCCACCTCCGTGTCCTTCTTGTGTTGTTCTCCAGGGACTCCAGGGCAGTAGGTGGAGCGGGGGCCTGTATTGTGTCCCTTTCCTGTGGAGTTGTTGCTCTTGGCCAGCTTTGCTGCCCTTATTTATAGTGGGAAAAATCCGAGAGGCTGAGTTGTAGCACATCCAGCTGCTGGAACGGGTCTGGTGATTCTTGGGGTGTGCAGACAGTTGTGAGTGTCGGCTTGGTGGGCTGGAAGGTGTTTTGTGTTCGTGTCGTGATGTGTGTCCAGCAAAAGGGGTTTGTGTTTTGTGGGCAAAGCTGGGATGCTGCAAAATTAAACTCATCTGTGGCTGAGGGAGCTGGGGGGGGCTCAGCCTGGAGAAAAGGAGGCTCAGGGGGGACCTTCTGGCTCTGCAACCCCCTGACAGGAGGGGGGAGCCGGGGTGGGGGGTCAGGCTCTGCTCCCAGAGAACAAGGGACAGGAGGAGAGGGAACGGCCTCAAGATGTGCCAGGGGAGGGTCGGGTTGGACATCAGGAGGAATTTCTTTACAGAAAGGGTTGTCAGGGACTGGAAGGGGCTCCCCAGAGAGGTGGTGGAGTCCCCACCCCTGGAGGTGTCCAAGGAAGGCCTGGCTGTGTCACTCAGTGCTTGGGCTGGGGGGACAAGGTGGGCATCGGGCACAGGTTGGACTTGATCCTGGAGGTCTTTTCCAGCCTAATTGATTCTGGAATTCTGTAATCCTTGTCTCGGGAAGCCCCTTATCAGTTTCCTTTTGCCCTGTTAACACTGGAAGCCCCTGTCACGTCTCCCTAAGCTGATGTGAGGGTTGCACGGAGCCGTGGATGGAGTTGTGCTCCTTTCTTTGCATGAACGTGCTCTGCTGTTTCCCAGTGTGGGGTGGGCTGGTGGGAGGTGGCAGCACAGCCAGATAATTCTTTACTTTTTTCCCCTCTTTATAATTCTTCCTTCTCTTCCTCCTTTCCCCTGCAGCCGAGGAGGTGGATCACACCCCGGGTGATGGCGGCATGGGGGTAGATGTTTTGGAATCGGGTGACACCACACCCCCTACGAAGAGGAAAAGCAAGTTCTCAAGCTTTGGCAAGATCTTCAAACCCTGGAAGTGGAGGAAAAAGAAAAGCAGCGACAAATTTAAGGAGACTTCAGAAGGTAAAGTAACGGGACGGGGGGCTGGGTGGGCGTCCCTTCCTCCACAGAGAAACCTGCCACGAGCCATCTGGCCACTGAGAAGGGCTTGCTGTCACCAGCCTGGGTGCTGGCTTGTGTCAGAACCAAAAGTGTGACCTTGGTGATGGGCTGGCACCTGCAATCTCTCCACAAACACCTTGCCATGGAGCTGTAGTTTCAGACAAATAAATTCCTTTCTTGCAAGGAGCCTCCCCAAGCAGCTGTGGGGAGGGAGGGTTCGCTCCACGATCACCAGCGTGGTGTGAAGTGCAGGCCTGAACGTGCAGTCCCTCCTCCCTCCACTTAATCCATGCAAAACCAGTGAAATTTGAAGCCCTTTTATTTCCTCCAGAGGATCCCTTAAAAAAAAAAAATAAATTATCATCTTGAACTTCTAGCTTGCCCTGTTTTCTGAGTGCCTTTTTTCAATTTAATATCAGTTTTAGAACGAAAGATTTCTATGCGAAAGCCAAGAGAGGAGCTGGTAAAAAGAGGGGTTCTGTTGGAAGAGCCTGAGCAGGGTGAGTCTGCAAACCAACTTCTCCTGTCTGTGTCTGTGTAGCTGATCTTCCTCTGGCCAAACCTCACCCTTGGGACACAAATTTAAGGGCTCTTTGCTGTGGTTCCTGTCTGTTTTACCCTTTCCAGTGCTTTCTCTGGTCTGATTTTCACACACTGATTTTCACAGCCTGCTCAGGGAGGAAGATGCTGCTGAGGAAGCTCACTGCCTGTCTTGGACACGTTCCAGGGTGGGAAGGCTGTGCTGTGGCTCACTTCCCATCCTGTCCCTCCCTACCTGTCCTGCTCCAGATCCCTTGTCCTGTCCTGCCAACCTCTGCTGTCACTCACCAACTTCCAGCTGTTCCAATCACATTCCCAACGGCACTAGGGGAGAGGTGCTGACCCTGTGGCCCCAGCTGGGAAAAGAGTCAAAAATGAATGAATTCTGAGCTGCATTTCCTCCAAAAGATGCTTCATGGTGTGGTGTCATAGTCACCACTAAGCTTATTAAAGCTTGCCCTGCTTTAATCTAAGTCTAAGAAGTCTGATCCCCTCCTGTGTCATCCCTGCTGTCTCCGAGTTGGATCACGCTGCCAAAATAAGTTCTCAGGTCACCACTGAGTCACCTGGCTGTGAGTTGGGTGGTGTGGGTTCACGGGAGGGGGCAGGAAGGTGAGGTGGGGTGGCAGCCCACCTGTCTGGGTGGGATCATGGTCCTTGGATTAGGGTGTAATTGCACCTCAAGAGACACACTGCAGAGGCAGCCTTGGCCTAGTGCAGATTGCATTCTAAGAAAGTGGGAAAGTGGAGGTGAAAAAGCGGTTTTCAGACCAAACCACTGAAAGCAAACCTGAGAGAAAGAGTCTTGACACAGCTTTGCTGTAATGCTGCCTCTACACCCACCCAAGGGTGTCAGTGCAGCGCTGGAGGAAGAGTTCACCGGGTACAGGAAGGTGTGAGATCACAGGATGAAACTGGAAGAGACATCAAAGACTTTGGGCACCAAACTTCCAACTGGGGATGGCAGAGGAGAGCGAGATCGTCCACGCTGTAAGGGTGTAACAGAAGCCTGGCTTAGGGGTGGAATTATTTTCTTCTTTGAGTCATCTGCTCTGCTTTTAGAAGCAGAGGATGGGTGTAATGTGGCCAAAGTGCAAACCCCCAGCACGAGGGAGCAGTGGGTGCTGGCAGGAGGGGCAGATTAGAGGCGCATTATCTAAATCCCTCCTGGGAGTTTAAGGCACTTGGGCAGTCATAAGACGTGAGGGTGGGTTATTGTGTTTGCTTGCAGTTCTAAAAGCTGCTCTTACAAGGTCAGTTAATTTTCTTAGGCGAGTTCTTAGCGGGGTTAAAATGCTGGAGACCCTCTGAGATGAGGAAGTGAGGAGGTAGGGAAGGAGGTGTGGTGGAGGTGAGGCTGGGAGAGGAGGCCTTGCTGCTCTCGGGGCTCCAGGTTGTGGGTACTGGGCTCAGAGTAAGGAAAAGGAGATGGCATTGGATCTCCTGACCTTGAAGGAGCCCACTGGAGCTGAAGTTAGGAGGGAGGTGGTGCGAGAAGCCATCGGGAGCTGAGAAGGGCAGGCAGGGTTGAGTGGTAAGGAAAGCTGGATCTTACTGTTCCTGCCTCCCTTGCTGAAAACTTTGGATAACCAGAAGCAGCTCTATAAAAACCTCTGGCTCATGCCTTGAGTTTCAGCCCTGTCTGAGGAGGAAACTCCCTCTTGTTGCTGTCTGTGCTTCCTGCGTTTCAGGGAAGGGCAGTGAGCGAGCGAGGCAGCGCCGTGTCTGCCAGCTCCTCCCAGGAACCCAGGCTGCTTCTCGTGGAAAAGAAATCCTGCGGGGCTCTTGGCTCCTTGGCAGCTTTGCTTTCAGCTTCTGAATCACACCAGGTTGGGGAAGGGGAGGTAATACTTGGGGGAAGAGAGGAAAGGTAAAGAGGGCAATGGAATAAATGACCAAAAATCAGAGCAGCAGGGTGTGCTGGGTCTGCAGTCTGGGGGGCCTTGATGCCACATGCTGCAGTTGGTTCAGAGAGGGATAGACTGAAAGGATTTTTGATCAAATTGATGATGTATCCAAGTTTTCTTGAGTTGGAAAGCAATCAAAATGGGCAAGGTCCCAGTAGAGTGAGTGCTGAAGTCTGATATTGGGAATAACATCATCAAGAGATTGTCCTGTCAGGGCAGTTGCAAAGAATGGTTGAGTATTTCCTCACGGGGTTTAAAATGCTCTCAAAATTACGGGCTGGAAAGTGGAACTTTTTCCAAAAGAGGTTTTGCTTCTGACCTTGGGAAACTCCATGCTGGAATCTGTGAAAGCAGAAATAGCCAAGGGGAGCTACATCAGATTCTGGAGCTGTATCATTACATCTGATTAAAACAAAGGTAAAGTGGGGAATTCTGCCTTGCTGCAGAATGTTTTGGGTCGAGCATTGGTTTTTGTGCCAAATTCAGAGTAGAAACAGAAGAAAAACAGAAGTGCTTCCAGTAACTTTACGACTTTATCAAAATCTACTACTGCATGTGCAATAGATGCCCTGGCTCGTGTTGGAATCTGCTGCAGCAGGGAGTTGGTGGCTGCTCTGTGATGGTGGGTGGATACAAAAGCTGCTGGAGTATTTTGACTGCAGTTACAACTTCTTTGGGCTGTGGTACAGCACTGGGCACACCGGGAGGAAGGGCAGGACAGGAAGAAGAAAAACCTTTGATGGGATAATACAGAGCTGTACAATTGTTGACAATGAAATCAAGGGCTCCCAGCCCCAGCTGGGTGGTTGCTGTGCTCTCCTGTGCAGAAGGTGACTGAAGACCAGCTGCTTCAGAGATGTTGGTGTGGCTCTGTGGTGGTTCAGTCAGCTCAGCCAGCTCTCCTCTCTCCTGCCTTGAGTGTTTAGTGTTTGCTTCTCTCCCCTCCCATCCCCTTGCAGATGGTGAAGAGCCAGAGAAGCTGAACCCCCCTGCACTGAAGAATGGCCACACAGTCCCCATCAGTGGGCCCGGGGTCTGTGACCTGCCCAGCCAGGAGGAAGAGGCCACGAAGCCCTCCAGCCTTAGGAAGCCTGTTCCAGCAGAGGAACCAAAAAAGAGGCAGGGTAAGAAACCGGATACGTGCAGATTCGGGGTTTTAGGTCATCCCAGGACCAGTTTTGAATTCCCATCTGATTGTTTCCACTCTCCAGTCCCTTAAACTGAGCTGTCTTCCTTTGCAGGCTCCTCCAGCAGCCACCCTGGGCCCGAACTGGAACCACCTCAGGAGCCACATGTTCCCAGACAGCCTCTCCTTCCTCCAAAAAGACCTCCCTCCACCTCCCAGGAGGCAAACGAGGCGCAGGCAAAGGATCCAACGCCCGCCAGCAGCTCTGCAAGAACTGCCCCCTCCACCACAGCCCCCACTGCAGCAAAGACAGTCAATCCCACAGCTGCCCCTTCCCCAGCCCCCAGGACTCTGCTCCCCGCTCCTGCCAGTGCCAACACTACTGCTCCCACCAGTACAACCAGCACAGCTCCTGCCAAACAGCCTCCCGTCCCCCCACCCAAACCTGTCAACAGAAATAGCAACTCACTAATAGGTAAGTGACCCATGAGCTGATTTTTGTACCCTGGGATGTCCTGGAGCCACTGCTCCAAGACTCTCTTCCCTTCATAAGGGAAGATTTTTAGTTCTAGCATGAGTGTCTGACCGTTTTTCCTGGAAACAGTCCAGTTTGGACTTGGATCTGCCAGTGTTTAGCCAGGACACACGTGTGCTGGGAACAGTGTAATTACTGGAGTCCTCTGCTGTGAGCCATCCAATCTGTTCCCAACAGCTACCTGCAGGAAGGAGTCCCTGCCTGCTTTTCCTCTGTCAGCTCTAAGGCAGTGTCTGAATGTTGATGCTTTGCTGAGGGCTGGGATTCAGCCAGGACTGGGGGATGGTGGATGAGATTTTGCTTTGCAAGCCTGTGGTCAGGGACAATTCCTGCTTTCAGCTGGTTTTGGGAAAGAAAAAAACCAACAAACTAACCCGAAAAATGCATATCACACCAAAAAATGTCTGTCATGGCTGTCACTGCAGGGCCATGTGGTTTCCACTTAGTGCAGAGAGGCCAGGAGCTGGCAGGGATAATTCAGGCTTCCCTGGTTCTACTCAGGCACCTCCTCTAAGGTCTGTGGCTGGGATATTGCCATATTAGTCTTGCCCTTAAGTCTTGTCCCATGGATAAATCAGCTCAACTGTAATTTGAGCTGAATCTTCCCGCTTAGAGAATTAAATGTCTTTATCTCTGTTACTTTTCTAAGCAGAAGATTTGGGGGAGAGTTTCTTAAAGCTCCTTTAGTCTCTGCTCTCTGTAGGAGTTCTGGGAGGTGTCTTAAAGATGCAACGTTGAGAGCTGGGATGACTTCCATGCAGTCTGTTTGTATCTCAGACAGTTCTGTCACAGACACCTCCTAATCTTTGGACACAGAGGAGGAGGGAGGCTCCTGGGAAGATCAGTCCCACAGGTTTGCACTGTTATCACAGAAACTGGAGGCGTTACCCAGGTGTGGTTTGGGAGCCAGTGGTGGATGTGCAAGTTGCCATCTGAAGTAGCCTGAGCTTTCAGTGTGAGCTGATGGCTCTGCTCTGCTCGGGGCTCACCTTGCTCTGGCAGGTTTTGCAAGTGACCTTGATATGGTGTTAAAACACTGCAGTGTGCCAGACCAGCTCGATTAGCCTGGCCATGCCCGAGCACTCCATGAAATACCTTCTTGTTTCCTTTAAGCTGCTTGCACACGCTGCAGCTGGCATTTGAAATGCCCCAGTGCTAATTGCGGGAGGTACTTGTGGAAGGAGAAGTGTGGCTGGAGACAGGAGTGTGTCCAACATCTGTTCAGAGCCATCCTGCTTTTTCCCAGCAGCCACGGGGTGTGCAGGGGAAGGGAGGGGAGAGGAAAGGTCACCCCTTTGTCCTGAAATTCCTGACGATGCTCATTCTCAGAGCAGTTCTTGTGTCTGATGCAGCAGCTGAAAATAAGGCTCAGGAAAGCCTTCTGGGGAGTGGGAATTTATTCAGCAGCAGCTTGAACGAGCAAGCAGGGAACAGGGTGCTGTCCTGCTGTCCCAGAGCTTGGCAGCAGCCCCAGGGCATGTTTCAGGAGACACTGGAGCCCCCTGGGCTGGAGCTGAGGGCACTCGGTGTTTTGCACAATCTTGCCCTTAATCTACGAGGGGAAAGTCTGAAAATGCTAAACATCCCAAAAATGTGCCCACCTCTCTCCAGCTATGCGGCCTTATCTCCGGGAACGCTCCTGCTCGCAGCACCCTCTCGCGGTGCCTGCGCTGCGGGTTCCTCCCGGCTCCGCGCTGGGCACACGGGTGTGTCACAACACCGGTGTGGCACAACACGGGTGTGTCACAACACAGGTGTGTCACAACACGGGTATCTCACATCACCCGCTCCGGGGCAACGAGCAGCAAGTCTCACCCGCTTCGGGCAAAGCCTTTCCAAGCCCCAGAAGCCATGGATACGTGGATGTTAAAGGCTGCAAACTCCTAAGGGAAGAGCTGTCTTCACTGCTGCAGCTTCTTCCCTAGGAGTGGAGCGGGGTTTGAGGAACCTGAGGTTGCCCACTGCAGGCATTTCCTGTGTCTCCATTTCTCCCTCTCTCCTCCATCACACAGCAGATATGTAGGCTCGAGGCTTTTAGGTATTTTGGGAAGTTTTGCTAGTTATTTTGTAGTTTATTTGGGCATTAAGGCACAGAGTTCAGAGGGAGTAGAGTGGAATCTCATCCTGAGGAGCTGCTGGCCCAGCAGGGTGTTCTCGGGCTGGGTCTGATGGGTGAGTGGAAGTGGGAGGAGCACACTGCTACCTGCAGCTCTGCTGACTTTTGCCTTTGAGCAAAAGGCAGGACTTTAGGACTTTTTGAGACTTCCCAAAAAGTTCTTTAATGTGCGGGGGAGCTGTTAACACAACTGGAGTCTAGGGTGTCCTGGATGTGTCAGATTCCTTTGTTGGTGTAAATACAGCCATAAAGTGCCCACGTTCCTGGGCGAGCTCCCTGTGCTGTCACTTGAGGGCTGGTGCCGTTCCTCTCTCTCCAGAGCAGCAGGATCTCTCCCAGCCTGCTTGTTTTTGGCTGCTCTCCCAAGTCTTACCTTTGCTGCAGGAAGGACAAACTAGAGCCTTGCAACCTGGTTATTTCTGGCACCGTGTTCCAGTAAAAAGCAGCAGAGTCTGCTTAGTCCTGGGCTCTGCCTTGCCGTGCTTCTTCCACACTGCTGAAGGGTATCTGGAAAATTCCCCGTTAAACACCGTGGCTTTTGTGGTTTTTATTTCCAGCTGAACTTTCCCAAGCAATGAACAGTGGTACCGCCTTGTCCAAGCCTTCCCCTCCTCTCCCCCCGAAGAGGGGCATCGTGCCCAACAACACGTCAGAGGTTGTCCCCTCCAAGCCCCCCAACGACAGGACGGGGACGGCGACTCGCCCGGCGCCGATCCCGCTGCACGTGAGCTCGGCTCACCCACCGCCCTCGCCCTCACCACCCCTGCCCACACACGTGCCCCCCGAGCCCCCACGCATGCCCCTGCCCACCCCTACCCCCACCCTGGACCCCCCGCGCTCCCTGGACCTGCCCAGCGAGACCCCTCCTCCCCCGGAAGAGTTCAGGTCCGTGGAAGTGTCGAAGAGGACAGCGGAGCAAGGCTTTGGAGAACCCCACGTGCTGCCCCGCCTGCCCCAGATCCCGCTGCACATCCGGATCCAGCAGGCTCTGAACAGCCCCCTGCCCGTCACCCCCCCTCCCGAGGGGTCCCACAGGGCTCACTCCCTGCTCTTTGAGAACGATGGATTCGGGGATGACAATGGCACCCTGGGCAGGACGAGGTCCCTGCCCGTCACCATCGAGATGCTCAAAGTGTGAGTACCCCCTGGACGTGTGCTGGCTCTGGCAGCTCCTGAGAGCCTGTGGTGGTGAGGAGGGCTCTGGGCAGGCCTGGTGTCTCTGCTGAAACCACTTTCTGTGTTGGCCAAATCTGTGTCTCAGCCTCTTAAGGGCCAGAACAACTTCCCGGCGAAATTACCCCTGGTTCTGGGATTTTACTGCTCACAAAGGGAAATGGGTTCCAGACTGCAAACACAGGCTGATGCCAGGAATCCAGGCCTGGCCTGTATTGCACCAAGACAAAACAAGGTCTTGGATTCCATCCATTTGTGGCCTTCCTTAGCCTTTCATTTTGCAAAACTGAAGTGGGAAAAGGGCTGTCTTGTTATAGCAGAGCTGAACCTGCAAGTCCCAAAGTAGTGGGGTCAGAGGGCTGTTTGGTTCTGCCTCAGGCATTTTCTCTGCCAGAGTTCCTGTGCTTTGGGGAGAGGGGACAGTGCAGGATCCTGGGATGGCTCTTGCACCTCTGTTTCCTGGGCTCCCTTGGGGAGAGCTAATGAGTTGTTGACCCCAAGGATCTTCCCCAGCCCCTGTGCCATGTGTTAAGAGGTGTAACGGTGTGCTTCTCGTTAGTCCAGACGATGAGGAAGAGGAAGAAGACGACCAGGAAGAGGAACAGAATCTGGGTCCTCGTGTATATATTGGAGATGTGCCATCTGTCACAGTCATCCCCAAACTGGTACCCCAGGTCCTGCCAGAGGAGCAGGAAGGAGACGAAGGGATGAGCGACTCTGACTCGGAGGGGCCCATCCTGTACAAAGATGATGAGGATGAGGAGGAAGATGAAAGCCATAACAGTAAGGCTTTGACATTGCAGCTGGCTTTTTTATTTCTCTGCTGAACCCGTGCCTGGCTGTACTGAGCTCTGGATCAAAGAGCTGGTTCCCACAGCGCTGCAGAGCAGCTGGTTCTCGGTTTCATGATGTACCACATGTCCTCTGCCTCGCTTTTGGCAAGGCTCTGCGGCCAAACCTGTGCTCTCACCTGCTGAGTGCACCCCTCCAGTTGCAGATGGCTCCTGCAGCAGCCTGTGCTGTCCCAGCCCCTCGGGTGGGACAGCTTTAGGTGAGCATGTGGCGTCACACAGGAGCGCTGGATGCTGCTGCGTAGCACAGAGCTTGGGAAACACAAGGAGAGAGGACGGTCCTCCCTCAGGGGGAGCACAACTGCCAGGGATCGTGGCTGGGATCGCTGTGCTCAGGCTCTGCAGCCTTGAGCTGCATCCCATTGCTCTCCCTCCCCGCAGGCACGTTGGCCAACAAGGTGAAGAGGAAAGACACGCTGGCTATAAAGCTGGGGAACGTGACCGCGCCGCAGGAGGACAAGATCGTCTTCCCTCGGAAGAGCAAGGAGGAGTGGAATGAGATCCGGCACCAGATCGGGACAACGCTCATCAGGTACAGAGAACAAGGAGGGTGTTCTGTCTGAACTGCTGGCTGGGGTGGGAATGGGCAAAGCTGGTGCCTTGTCTAAGCAGCCTGTGCTGGAATAGGGTGGGTGGTTGGGCACGGCAGCTGGAGCAGGGCTGGGAGGATGAGTGTTGCTGTTCCTTCCTGCTTAGAAAAGTTGGGAGTTCCTGTTGGAGTTGAGCAATAGGCCCTGACAAGCCCCTGTTTCCAGAGGTTAAGTGGAATGGGAAGGGAAAATCTCAAGGGCTGCAGAAATGTAAAATACAGATGGTGTAGAAAGGTGTGGATGGGTGCAGGGTGGGTGGATAAAGCTGGTGACAGTCCAGGCTCCGCTCTGTGCTGGAGTTCCCTGCACAGCTGCTTTCTGAGGGTCCATAGCCCTTCCCAGACCTGTGCTGGTGGCTGAGCAGCTGTTTGAGCAGAGCAGAGCACAAACAGGGCAGCAGTGATCCCCGCTGGCAAATGAGGGTGTGGAGGAGGCTCTCCAGAGCACCAAAACCAGGCAGTTGTGTCCTTCATCCCCTGCTGAGGAGTGACCAGATACAACATAACGCACTTGTCACACATTTTTCAGGCGACTGAGCCAGAGACCCACAGCAGAAGAGCTGGAGCAGAGGAACATCCTGCAGCGTGAGTAGCACTTGTGTGGGGTCCTGAGCAATGCAGTGTTTGCCTGTAATGTCTTAGTTCATTGGGAGGGGATGGTTTTAAACTGAAACAGGTTTACATTAGATTTTGGGAAGAGATTCTTCCCTGTGAGGGTGGGGAGGCCCTGGCAGAAGTTGCCCAGAGAAGCTGGTGGCTGCCCCATCCCTGGAAGTGTCCAAGGCTGGGTTGGATGGGGCTTGGAACAACCTGGGCTAGTGGGAGGTGTCCCTGCCCATGGCAGGTGATCTTTGATGTCCCTTCCAACTCCAGCCATTCCTGCCTGGCACCTCAGAGTGTGTGAGCTGGTTCAGACTCTGCTGTTACCCAGCAAGGGCTGTGAAAGGTGTTTTGTTTGGGCTGGACTTTCATTTGTGGTCCAGACATTACAGCATTGCATTGCATGATCCCAAAAGCAGCAGTGCATCGCTCAGTCAGGGCTGTTTCTCTTGGCCATATCTTGTTCTGCAAAAGTTTTAAATAAACATCATGAGGAAAGGGAAATGTCAGTTCAGGAAGTTTCCATTTAAAATATTTATCTGTGCTTTTATTTTCTTTTAAACTCTAAAAGCTTTGGGGAGGACTGAGCTGCAGAGTGGCTGGGATGTATTTTGGCAACATAGGCCTTAGTCTTTAACATGAGAATGACTCAGTGGTGCTGTTTAAGGGCTGCATGGCCCCTCGTAGTCCAGGAGGTGACTCTGTGTTGAGTTGGGCTGCTCTCTGTGCCCGTTCTAAGCGCAGACATGCCACAGTGAGCCTTCAGATGTGTGGATAATCCCATGCAGCTCCACACTCTGCTTTGTTCAAACCCAGAATTCCCTTTTCAAAGCCCGATGCTTACATGAAAAATGTATTTTTCCCCCCCCCCTTGGCAGCAAAGAATGAAGCTGACCGTCAAGCTGAGAAGCGCGAGATCAAGCGCCGGCTCACCAGAAAGGTACTGCTGGCCCCCGTGGCGACGGCCACCTGGCAGGGCTGGTGGCAACGGGCACGGCGTGGGCACCGTGCTGTGGGGGCAGTCACGGGGCCATTGTGTAAGTGTCCCCGGCGCCCTCGGGCTGCGGGGACTTTGGCACGAGGGCTGTCACCCGCGGGGAGCCGCTGGCGCCGTTGGCAGTGACAGATCTGAGCTGGCAGCGAGCGTAACGAGAGAGAGACGAGAACTAAATTTGGCACCTGGCACCTGCCAGGCCGGCAAACCTTTCTGCTCTAACACAGCTCTTCAGCGGCCACGACTCACACCAGGCTCCCTAAAACTCATTTCTAAAGCAACAGCGGTGTGGGAGCTGAGCAGAGCAACAGCTGCTTTGAGCTGTTACGTCCGGGTTGCTTTGGGATTGTTACTCATGGCTGGGAAAAGCTTCCTCGGGGCCTGTGGGTGTGAAATGGGAGTGTTGCCATTGCTGGGGTTGAGTTGAGGGGTGTCATGCAGGGCTCACCATTTAATAGATATTCCCAAACTTTTTGTCTTCTTTCTTTGTGGCAATGTGTCCTGGGTTCTGCCCTATCCTGGCCTGATGATCCAAATGGGAATATCCAGTCTGTAAGAGGGTTTGCCTGCTCCCTTGCAGGATGTGAGCAGGACCTGGCAGTGTCTGTGGCTCAGCCCCAGCAAGGGAACTGGTTTTAGTTTTGCTCAGGGTGCTTAGCCCTGATCTGCTTCGTGGACAAGGCTCAGACTAACCTCCTTTGTTCTTGCTGGTGTTCAGCTTAGCCAAAGGCCTACGGTGGCAGAGCTGCAGGCCAGGAAGATCCTGAGGTTTAATGAATACGTGGAAGTAACAGATGCTCAGGACTATGACCGGCGAGCGGATAAGCCGTGGACAAAGCTGACACCAGCTGACAAGGTAATGGGGAGTGTCCTGGCCCCAGGTGGGGAGGGGAGCCACACCAGGGTGGGAGCCAAGGAGATTTGCTCTGTTCCTCTTGCTTCACCTCTTCATCTTTCCCTCTGCCCTCCCACCGAGCCCACCAGTGTCCCTTTACCTGTGTGTGCTGTCCCAGCTCTGCTTCCTGCTGCCTCATGGTGAGGTGGAGCCCAGGGGGGCAGGGGCTGCAGGCCAGCATGGCCTCTGCATCAGCTTCTGAGTGATGTAAGAATCATAAAATCATGGAATAGTTTAAGTTGGAAAAGCCCTCTGAGATCATTGAGTCCAGCTTTTGACCTGGCACCACCACGTTCATCACTAACCCATGTCCCCAAGTGCCACATCCACGTGTTCTTTGAGCACTTCCAGGGATGGTGACTCCACCACTGCCCTGGGCTGCCTCTTCCAGGGCTTGACAACCCTTTTGGTGAATAAATTTTCCTTAATATCCAATCTAAACCTCCCCTAGTGCAACTTGAGGCCATTTCCTCTCCTCCTGTGTCTTGTTCCCTGGGAACAGAGCCCGACCCCCCCTGGCTCCCCCTTCCTGTCAGGGAGTTGTAGAGCACAAGAAGGTCCCCCCTGAGCCTCCTTTTCTCCAGGCTGAGACCCCCCAGCTCCCTCCATCACTCCTGGTGCTCCAGACCCTTCCCCAGCTCCATTCCCTTCCTGGACACACCAAGGATGCAGGCCATGGGTCAGAGGAATGTTGTTCCTTGCAGGCTCAGGCAAAAAGCTGGCAGGGAAGTCTGTCCTTGTCCTCCCTGGCCACCTGTGGGACTGCCCAGCCCTGAGGTGGAGGAGGTGGGGCAGATTAAATTCAGTTTAGTGTGAACGACCTGCCAAAGCTGGTGTGGCTGCTGCAACCTGAGCCCTTTCCTTTCTCAAAAAAAAATCTCCCTCTTTGTGCAGGCGGCCATCAGGAAGGAGCTGAATGAGTTTAAGAGCTCTGAAATGGAAGTGCATGAGGAGAGCAAGCAGTTCACGAGGTGAGAACATGTTACTCAGGAGTTTGTCTTGTAGGAGCTGTTAGAGTTCTGCCCTTGAGGTGAGAACATGTTACTCAGGAGTTTGTCTTGTAGGAGCTGTTAGAGTTCTGCCCTTGGGTGCTGTGCTGAGGAGCAGAAAAATTGTCTGTGCAGAAATGGGAGATTGAATGTCCCCTCCTGCCTTGGTGGTGAGGGGTGATCGGAGCAGTAGCAGACACAAAGTGGGTTGGTTTTCCTTAAAAAATTGGGGCTTCCACCCTGGAAACTCAAAGTGACCAGTGACTGGTTTGCAATGCATCTGAAACCAGTGTGACCTTGCAGCTGGAGTGGACTTTTCTGGGGCTAGAGAAGCCACAACCACAAAACACCTTGGTAATGAGCTGGGATATTACCTGCGAAGTCACCTGTGAATTGTGGCCCAAATGATTCTTTTCCTTCCAGCACAAAAGGTGAAATTGTTTGATGTTTACAGCTTCCCCGAGGGCTGGGAGCTCTGAGATAATTCAGTTTACCCTCTTTGGCCATCTAACCATTTAACCTGGACAACACTCAGATTTTTCACTTGGCTTTCAGGTACCATCGACCATAATCTTCCAAGAAGGGAGCAAGAGACCCGAGAGGCCTGGAAGTTCTCTGCGTCCCTCTCCTAGGCAATACAGCGAGGGTGGAACCCTGGCTCTTCCAAGATTTGCCTTCCAACCATGTCCAGAAAAGGGCTTTCAGCCAGGGAAAGGGGAATCCTGTCTGAATGTAGCATTTCACTGGAACAAACACGTCTCTCGTGCCATCAGGCTGGAACTGACACTATACCTCGTGTGGCTCAGCAATAACCCCCTGCCAGGAGACCATGCCCAGGGGAACAGACTCCTTTTTGGGATGCAATTCCTCCTCTTTTCCACGAGGAAGAGGGGGGAAAAAAAGAAAAAAAGGCAGCTCTAGTGTTGGGAAGCTGAGGAGAGGATGTGCTTGGAAGCACGTGTGTGTATATTAGCTGTGTACAGAGAAACCTGGCACACAACTGACATGTCACTCGTTATTTTTTGGGGTTTTGCTTGTTTCTGTCATGTCCTTAATGTCCTGAATCACTACTGACCAACGGTTTGTTGTGCTGGAAGGGAACTGTATAGGTATTAACATATGCTGCATCCTTTTTGTAAAAAAAAACAAACAAACACAAACAAAACCAACAAAAACCACAGGTGTATAAAACATTCCCTCCCCACCCTCTCACACTTGCTGTGATGTTAATAACAGATCTTGAGATATCTAGGATTGTTTAACAAATTACAGAACCAGAAAAATGACTGTTGCCTTTTAAAACTTTTTAATTTGGGGAAAAGGTGAGAGTAGTCAATCCTTTTTATTGTGGCTTCCTCTCAGATGTTTTTTACTCTCCCAAATCAGGGTTGAAACTTGCCTTTTTTTCCTCGTTTTTACAGCTAAACCTACTGGAAACTTGATGAATTTCACTGTGTGGGTCGAAGGGAGTGGAGGAAGAGGTTTAAAAAGTGACCTTAAAAAGATGATATTTCTCTTCTGAAAGAAGTTCTTCTGAAATGTGGGGTTTTAAAAAAAAAAAAAAAAGAATCTGTTATAGGCCACTGCTGTATTATGCACAAAACCTAAACCATGTGTGAGATGCCACTTGTGAGGGAAGGGAGCGTGGGGATGGAGAGAGGGGTTTTACCTTGTTCACAGGCAGGGTGGCAACACTCCAGCCTTGGCCTGGCACCCTCATGTGACATGGCGAAGGTTCTTCCCTCACAGCTCCCCCCCTGTACAGCCACCTGTAGACTTAAACCATTGCGTTGTATATCAGTCTCCTCAGCAACAGATTTTAACTATGGAATAAAAGTATTTTAGGATTTTTTTT